GCGGGTGTCACGTCAGTTTGGGTGCGCGCAGGTCTTCCCCCTTCCCCGACTTCAGCTTGACGGGCCACACGGGTAAGTCTCGTTGTATTCAGATTTCTTCTTGATGCTGGTACAGCTTTATTCAAAGTTAATTGTATTGTAGGATTTCAAGAAAAGGTAAAGGTATAGAGTTTGGGCAGTCTTGGGTGGATAGGGTGATGCCTTGGGTCAACGCCTAGGCAGAGGCAGCTGCCAATGTGCACGACCTAGGTGTCCCATTCGATAAGGGCATGTATTGCGAGTACTTGCGTTGGTTTCACAGAGCCACACACGTCCGTTGCTTCCCCATGCCGGTATAGGCCACGTCGCATGAGCCCAAGATCACCGACACGTTCGCGATGGAGCCACCTGCTGCTTTCCATGCGCTGGTAAGTAAAATTATAAACTACTTTGTCCTATCGTTACTTTGGTAATGAGTCACAACAATTCATGCAAACAATACATGCCTGCCTTGTAGATAGATATCTGCAGCGACATGACCAACGAGCTGTACTCATATGCGGAATGGTTCGAGCAGAACCCCCCAATAGTTGGTAGGATGGAGTTGGTTGCCGCCCTTCGACGACTGGGGCAACGTTACATGGCGGGAGTACGCCGAGCATTGTGTCGCCACACCATGGACGTTGTTCACGAGCACCAGGGTGTGCCTCTAGCTCCAGCTCTAGCTCCACCTCTGCCTCTAGTCGTAGGATCTGGAGGACGTGCTCGTTCTTCGCACCAGACGGTTGGAGTCCTAGGTACTTCTGCGATGACCTTTTGATTTCTTCTTGCATTATGTACTTAACATGGTTTATGTGACCTTATAATTTTTTGGGTAGGTGGACGTGCTTCTTGCAGTGACTACACGATGGGTACTAGTAGCTTCGGGACCTTTTACATTGACAACACTCCTCCTTGGGGCCCCGATGAGGCTGGGCCCTCATGGCTTTCTGGTGCACCTCTGCTGACTTAGCCAACTCAGTCAACCGAGGGTACGTAGCCTACAGAGTCGACCCCAGCGGCACGCCTGCATCGTCCTCCAGACCCCCTCACTTACCCTACGAAGTAGGTTCGTCACCGAGGAGCACAGGCCATCAAGCGTGGGCGTCCTACTGGTTGACCTATACTAGTTGTATAGTTCTAGGCTTGCATGAATGTGAACTAGTGTACTCATAAATTTCTGATGCCTCCAACCGTATTAGTTCATTTACCACCATTTAATGGAGGCAATGCTCCAATAACTTTCGACGCTTGTACCAATAGCCAGCGGCAGCGAGTACTCACCTCAACACAACAACAACCCTACTTAATCCACATTCGCCAACTCCAAACTCTATCGATGTCTGCCTATGTAGGCTTTTCAGTGAGTTTTCATGTCACCTGTCGTCTAGCTTTGTAGGCTTCTCAGGGTATGGTCAGGTCACTTAATGGCACTACAAATGTAGGATGTAGCCTTTTTAGTGAGTATTCACATCAACACTGCATGCTACGTACACTGCATGGTACACAACCTTTGCAGTGAGTTGTCACGTCATCATTATTTAGGCTTCGTAGCGAGTACTCACATCAACATGACAACAACTGTACTGAATCCACAGCAGGCACCGACAAGCTCCGCCAATGTCTACCTGTGTAGTCTTTTCAGTGAGTTTTCATGTCACCATCGTCTAGCTTTGTAGGCTTTTCAAGCTACGGTTAGGTCACTTAATGGCACTACCAACGTACACTGCATGCTACACAACCTTTTTAGTGAGTTGTAACATTGAGCTACATAGCCCATGTCTCTAGCATTTGCTATATATTGACGGGTCGAAGTAGTTTGTGCCCACCGAGCGCAAAACTGAACATACAACCACTTAACCGAGATAGTCCATACCAATGTCGGGTGCGTCAGGGAAGGGAAAGGGAAAGGGAACTAATCCTATGGTTTGGCCAGGATCTTATGGTCAAGATTGGTACCTAGATCCACTAGAAAACTTCCCATTGCAAGGTAAGAAGGATTTTCGTCCACCTAGTAGGTTGTGGCCATATGATAACAGGAAAGAAGAGTGGCTAAAATGCTGCCATGGTGACAACTACATAGTCCAAGTATACAACGACGATGGCCTTCATGGAGGGTGTCGGTTCTTCAGATGCCCTCGCGGATGGGTAAGTCTTACTATGCATTTTATCGTACTACTCATCTTCATTACATACTAACAAGACTATGTATTGTATAGAACTCCGAAGATGAGGACAACTATAGTTTCACTAGGTGGGTTGATCCACATGCCATTTAGCTGTACGAAGAATTCATCCACCACCTACAGAACCGCATATTTGACCTCGAAAGAGAGGTTGAAAACATGTCTGCAACCAAAGAACAAAACACTCAAGAAGAAGGACAAGATGTTCCGATGCAAGACAAGCCAGTGTGCAATGATCCACATTGTAAGAGCCCCTGCCATGGAAACATGGGGCCTCCTCCACCTCCTCCGCCTCCTCTTGCATGTGGTGAAAATTGGTACTATGGACAAGGCTCTTCACAGTGGTACTCGCAGTAATCGGATGCAAGAGTGATTAGGACCTAAGTTGTGTTGGCTAAAGTTTAATTACAACTGTGTCGCATGCTTTCAATTCGTAGTCTGTATTTTGTGTGTTTGTAATTCCTGCAGTGTACTTTGTTGTTTCAATCCGTAGTCTGTACTTTTTAATTTCGGCAATGTACCTTGTTCTTTCAATCCGTAATCTAAGAAGACTATGTTGTATCACATCATACGTTCCCGCGCACTCTCCCTCTATCCCCTTCTCTCTCACATGCACGCCTGCACGGTCCCCTCTTTATTCTACAACCAACCAAAGCATGCAAGCCGGCACACTGTCCTCTTTTCCTACACCCGACCAAAGCATGCAACCCGCCACGCTCTCCTCTTTTTCCTGCACCCGACAAAAGCATGCAAGCCGACACTTTCCCAACATGGACCAACGTGGACTAAGTTCACTGAACCATACAAACCGGCACTATAAAAGGTCTCCTATGTGTTCACCACACCACATCTCCGCTGCCTCCCCTCCCCATTCAACTTCGAAATAATGGCATCCTGGAGGACCGACCCAACTCAGCTCCCGCAGTGGGTTGAGCAGCCAAAGTGTCGTTGCGGGTTTCAGACAATCTTGCGTGTGTGCATGGATTAGGACTGTCACTACGGCCGTAGGTACTTCGCGTGCCCAGATCTGGATGATGACTTCATGGTAAGATCGTGAACTAAATCTTTTGTTTGTGGTTACCTTTTCTCAAATTGATCAATGACATCTACCACCATACATGTAGCCTTGCAAGTGGATAGAATGGGTGGATCGGGAGCTGCCTGCATGGCCAGGAACGGTCCCAAGGGAGGTGGAAACCAAAGGCCAATACCTTGTGAAGATGACTCAGGCTCGCGAGGCGGAACGACAGACGAGGGAGCAAATTCATCTGAAGGCTAAGGAGGATGAGCTGGCTAAGAGGAGGGAGTAGTTAAATCTGTGTGAAGCAGCCATCAAGCGTAAGGAGCAAGAGCTTAAATTCGTGAGGCAGCTCTCAACAACAAGAATTATGCAGCGGAACCATCTTCAGGGCGCAACATAAAGGGAAAACAACCATGCTGCACCCAGTAAAACAATGTAATAGACCTGGCAAGTTAAATTCCCTAAGGCATGTTACGAGTAGTGGTGGACCTCTGAACATTACAAGTACAGAGTTCCACACATGTCATTGCAAGTCGTGCTATGTTTCATTTTCCTAGGCCTTTGCAAGACTACTTAGTATTGCAAATTTGGTCCATGTACCGCGCTGGGTTAATATTACAATGCGTTTGTTCCATCAAAAGTTTGAAAGGTTCGTTAATTTATGAAATGTGAAGAATGCTAGTGTTGGTCGAAAAGTGGTACAACTTTTATGCCTAGTGATGGTTGTGTTCGGAAAATACACCGGGTGGTTCAATAGCATGAAATAGTGCTGGGGAGAGTCCTGTCGACTTCTGGATTACCGACAGGTACTATCGGCCAACCATGGGCCGACAGGACTGTCGGCCCACCAAAAGTCGACAGGGTGCGCCTACAGTCCCAAGTTGGCTGCCACGTCGATCTAATCGGTTGCTGAGTTGCCTATATGGGACTTGTCGGCCTTCCAGGCGCCGACAGATCCTAAATTTGCAATAAACCAATAACAGCTTCTAGTTTTGCAATTTTCATTTTAAAAAAATGTTATTTAAAAAAAATTCAGCAGCCAGCAACACAACTTAAGTGGGCCGGAACAACAGAAGGACAGGCCCATTGTAATTTAGTCAAGCCTGTAAAAAACATGAATCTTAATGAAGATCTGAACCACATAAAAGTGGAAGAAAACAACACAAGAAATCTGCTGGCAGATATTTAGAAATTCCGTTTTAAAAACGACAAGTGATCTGGTAGCTGACATCATTAATGTACTGGGCTAGTGCGTGGGCTGGTGCGTGCATGCGGGTGGAGCAAATGGTGCGTGTATGTGCATGAGTGGGCTCTTCACTCTCATAGAAAATTACCTGGGCCAAGGGGGGAGCGGGAGCCCAGTTTCACTTTCACTGGGCTCCGCCCCAGACCATCACCCCCAGTATAAAACCTGGGACCAGACTTGAAATATATACCACAAAATACGCACAATTTTCTGCTTGAAGCAAAAATAAAGAAATAGGCATCATGTTTGTCACTGTGATGTACCACTAGCATCAAGCAAAGAAAGCTGTGCATTTGCTCGTCGTTTTCTTTTGGCAGGACTATGTGACTCAGCATAGTCTGTGGGCGAAATGCTGATCTTTTATTGCATGATTTTCAGTACATAGCTGATCGCAGACCACGATCGAGCTCTTTATTGGAGAACGGCAACGCTTATTTCTTCTTTGAGAAGCGGTCCGCGAAGGCATGCTAGATAATCAGTCGTTGCCGGCTGCATCCGATCAGATGGCCGGCCGGCGGCCGCCCCCAAGTTAAACAACATCAGGTTCAGGCGTGCAGCGGCGCTCGCAGTAGTTGTAGAGGAAATCCGCGCACCGGTAAACAGGCGGTTCGCGGACGCTGCCGCTGGTGGTGAACATGAGGCAGTTCCTGCACGCCGGGTGGCACCCGCCCTGTGAAAAGTCTAGGCAATTGCACTGTGGCGGGAACGACAGGAGGCACAGTCCGCATTTGTCGCAGCACGGCCACGCCTGGTTTGCATTCTTCTTGGCGAGTGTCCCTCCTTCCTCCTTCCCTGCTGCGGCGAAGAAACATGAGTCGTCGTCCCATCTGGTTGTTGGCCCAAATTGTGTTCAAACAAGTTTGGAAAACATTAACAAAGCAGAAAAGGATTCACCTTTGCTGAGTGGCAGAGCAGCGAGGACGCCGAGAACAGCGAGTGTGACGAATAGCACCTGAGGTCTCATGTTTGTTTCTCTTCTCAACAACCGGAGGCACGTCTATGTCTATCCGTTGCTTTAGATTTCAATTCCCTGCTAATGTCGAGGCTTCTTATAGAAGGAGGGTTGCCCGTCACAGCTGTGTGTGTGTCATCCACATGCTTGCCAACTGAACAGAGAGCAAAATGACAAGTAGAAAAGGGAATTCTTAGATGAGGACGCACGACACGTCGACAGTAGACACGAGCAACAGAAAGCAATATGGAACGATGCATAGCATCGTCATTCCTTATCGACCCGGATGACCCACACACCACGACACTGTTTAGCACCAAATTATGCTGGGTTAGTATTAACACCGTTCTTAATTTTTTGGCTATCAGGTCAGTGGGTCGACCCACGAAATTCTGCATCGTGATGTCCATATCACGGCCTTTGCATCAAAGAGATGCAAGTAGCCATGAGGTTATTAGTTATCACAGTGAAATAGTCATGTCTCGGTCTATGGCATCTAAAGATGCACACAGCCAAAGCGATTATTACATTTTTTTCACGTCTCATGACTAGAGAGCTCCGAGCATAACATATCCATGCTCTTTATTTCAGAAACAGCACGTCTAAACTAAACAGGCGACAAGTAAGCATCACTTTATTAAATCCTGTCTGCATCTTGAGAAAGATGCAATATAAAGGGAACTCCGAACGCGCTGATGCTGAATTTTTTGGCTTATGTTGATGCTTATGCTGAAGTGTCGTGAGAGAAAAATACTATTTTATGACTGAAAAGTAGTTCTGAATAAGCTCAAACGAACAGGTGCAGCGCTTGCGGAAGTTGACAATCCTGTCCTTGCACTCGTAAAGGCCGTCGCTGATGGAACTGACGCACGACTTGCACTCCGGGTTGCAGCCGCTCGTCGACGTATCCCTGCACTCACATGTCGGCGGCTGCGACCTGGTGCAAATGCCGCAGTCGTCGCAGCACGGCCACCGGCTCGCGTCAACCCCTTCCTCCTCCTCGTGCGCTGCGGCAACCAAAGATCAGGCCACTGGGCACCGATCCAACCGACCGATCCCCCATCATTTCAAGTGATTCTAGCGATGGAGAGATTTAACAAAAGGTCCAAGTCTCACCTTTGCCTAGTGGCAGAGCTACGAGGACGGCGAAGACAACCAATGCGACGAGCAGCACCTGGGGCCTCATGCTTGCTTCTCCTCGCAGGAACCGGTTGCAATTGCAGCAGCTGCTTAGTGTTTTTTCTGCACTGCCTGCACGCGGCGTTCCGAATGGAAATGGAGGCCTTCATATAGAAGAGAAGGGCTCTGGGTCACCGTCCGCGCAGCTGTGTGAGTGTGACACTGTGACCCCTGCCTGCCCTCGGACAAGAGAGCCATGTGACCGTGCTTAAACTTATCAGCCTTCGAACCCTCTCACAATAAATCAACTTCAGTCGACTTATCAGTAGCAGAAACCTTCAGCCGAACAGATCCACCGACCATTCCTCATCCAAGCAACCCTTTTTATTACCACCACAGCCCACAGCTATGAGGATTACTACGGGCAGAGGATCATGCACGTTCCGAAATCAGCCACCGACTCCACGGCCGGGCAAAAATTTTCAGCGTGCAGTGGTCACGGTGCTCACAATATGCACGTGGAGATTTGACACTGGAAATAGACAGAAACGTCACAATCAGTGACAAATATGCACAATACACCTGCCATGGCCCTAGGCGTGAGAAAAAATCTCCAAGAACTGTTAGCCAAGTCTATGTCATCTTGAGACACCACAAGACACAAGTAATACAATACTGTAAGTTTGGCTCTAACATATACTCGGGTGTTTAAGTCCCTATAAAGTGCATTTGAACTTGGTGATTAACACTAAACACAATCTCTGTAGCTACTTGTGTAGTTGTGTTGGTAGGGGGGAAAACTACACAACTAAGCATTTATGTGATTGAGACATTCAGGCCAATGGACAATTGCACAAAAAATCAAACAAGGTGTCACCAAGTTGAAGCAAATAAACAATAATATCGTTCGCTGGTCAAATATTTTTTTTGAAAGAATTGGAGGGGCTCGCTCCCCTACAGGAATTTATTAAAAAAAAATAAAAGTCTGTAAAGGTCGCTGGTCAAATATGATGGCTCTTACGGCCAAATTCACATAGCAACTTCAGAAATGCCGTCGGTAAACACGAACCGGCTTACATCCAGTCTGCAAACATGTCATAACCCATAAAGCCAAAGGGTAAACCAAACACCAGTAACAAAGCTCGGGGTTTTCTTTTTCTTTTGCCCAATGTATGCCATAATTTGTCGTCCAACTCTCAAGTGACGAAACGTAGCAGGAGTTTCTGAGTAAAAAACAATATCTTCGTTGTTCACTCGAGAATAGTTGTACACGACCTTAACACCTTAAGTACGGTTTTCCCCAAAATCTAGAAATGAATATCAAATTATAGAGATGCTTATCTAGGGGGTGAGCACTGAGATATATCACCAATTCACCATCTAATGATATATACAAATGTGTGCAATTCAATGCGAAACCAAAAACGACCTTGGTGAAATCTCCCTCGGAGGCCCACAAACAACAATCAAGTTTTGGAACTTGGCTGATCATTCTCTTGTGACGAAAACTTGCATGCCAAAGGGAAAAACAAAATCAAAATAACAGCAATCAAGCCGATGCAGATCTCACATCATGTACCATTTACAAATCCAGGTGTTCAACATGCAGATTTGCAAGGATGCACTCAATTTACATGTTACTGCAGCATACACCATGCAGCATTTTCAGGTGTCCAACTATCAAGTAGCCAAGATTGTAGGAGAGGAGGGCATTCCCATGGGACAAACCAGACATTTACAGCTCACTGTAGTTCCGCCATACTGCTCGAAATTCCTCCCTGAATGTGTTCAGACGTGCCTTCAGATTAGGTGTTCTGAAGCTGGCATGTAGCAAGGTTGCTGCAAGGCAGGAATTCAGTTATTAGGCATAGTGTTTGTAGATGCATAATTTAACTAAAAACTTCCATGCTCCTAGTTGGCCTTACCAAGTAGACCAATAAGTAGTGCCCACAAAACTGTGAGGAGGCTGCAGGAGGTCAACCAGAGCACACAACTAACTGAAACACAACAGCAGTCAATGTTTTTTGGGCCATCGAGACTGAATATATTCAAGTGCAAAATGGTATGTCTGGAGGAAGGTGTTCTACCAACCTGCAGAAAACAACAGGACAAAGATCCAGCGAGGTCGGCCACATATATGAATGGATCTTCTTTTACTTGGTCGCCCTCGGATGACAGGCCTGAAAAATGTCATATGTAAAGCATTAGTGTATCCTCTGTGGGTTCATGGCAAAAGAAGGATATCAAAGAGATGTTAGAGGGGAGGGAGATCCTCACGTTATGGGTGGCCTCATCTTTGCGGCTAAGTGTGGTGAAAATTGTCTGACACTCCTTGTGATTTTCCCATTGAAAGTAACTGCAAAACTGCAATCTCAGACATGAGAAGTGGCTGACAACAATGATCCTGATGGTAATTGTCATTATTTTGAGTGTTTACGAGCATTATATATAGAGGGAAAGTAAATAATTTATAATAGAAACACAGTTGGACTAAACTTGGGAACCATTGGTTGATACTTGATAACATGGGGACTTTATAGGAAGTAAAACTTGCAGATAACGTAACCCTATTTCAGCTGTCAATAATAAAGGAAACTCGCAAGAGAAGGGAAAGACTAAGATAACACTTATGCTCTTCTTAGTTGGAATGAAAGGGAATTAACAGAAACAAAGAGAAGAATCAGGAATGTTACAGCAGCATATCAATCAGTTAAATAATTCTGGTAAGTAAGAGAATGTGGTAATCATTAACCTGAAACATCAGAGGCTTTAACTACTAAAATCAAACAATAAGTATAGAAGTAGAAGAAAACACATGTTCAACACTTAAAATTGTCTTGAATTCTGCTTAATGGATGAACAAGTCATGGCCATTAGCAACAACTAGTGTATGCGACATCCTGGTTAATTGAGCATCAAATTATATACTGAAGTTTGTATCTGAACCAGGAATTCTGTAATGAAAGTAATAAGAAAATAACCATAATGTATCTCAAGTAAATTGTAGTAAGATCAGCACAAACAAGTTATCGTGCTCTCTTTAATGTCTGATTTAATAACAAAAACAGAGTTTCTAGTACATCTGAGCCTACTGAAATTAAAAAAATTTGAGGCAATGTACAAGGCAGCAAGCTATGTTTCACCAGGGCCGGGCCAAGGGGAGTGCGAGCAGTGTGAGGGAACAAGTTCCCCCAATTGCCAGGGGCCCCATGTTCTGATGGATTTACCAGCCATCACTTCATCATTAGTTCGTGCGTGCGATTGAACTGCTAGTGACTACCAGCTAGGCCTAGCTAGGGATCAATTCAAGCCCACGCCGTTAATTTCGTGAAGGATTAGCACTGAACGCAGGCAAACATGAGTCAGGAGTGCAGGAGAAGGACCAGTAAGCCTGAAGCCAACGACAACAGGTAAGCATGAGTCAAGAGTGCAGGAGCAGGACCTGTAAGCCTGAAGCCAATGACTACTCCTAAGATAATTTTAATCTTTGCCTTCAATTTGAATTCTACTATTCTCCGTATCATTATATGAACCAATTTTTTTGGCAATCATTATCTGAACTATAACTAACCTTCATATGACTACGTCTGGTGTTCCAAGATTAACACATGTGTAAGATATGTACGTAGAATTGATAATTACTATAGTCCTATTTATCAAGGAATAAGGCCTCATTTTATAGTTTGGTACAGGGCCCCAAATTTTGCCGGTTCTGTCCTATGTTTCACAACTAAAGAAACATAGGAGCATGCTTCATGACTGGCCATAATAAATTTTGATTGAGAGAATACAGAGAGGGAGGGAGGGAGGGACTAATATTCATAGCTTACAGATTTGTATATTCAAAAATAAATTTTTTTGGTGAACGTGAATTTGATGTTTTCCTTTTTCACATAATATGAAGACACACAGGAATACAGAAGTAAAACCTAAATATATGGCAATTATGAACTGAGATTTGTAATACCAGCTCACCCTACTCGGTTCTGAATATGAATATGCTTTCAGACTTTCCAGGTCATGGTGAGAATAAAATTATGAATGCTCCACAAACCATAGTGTAAGCACAATATGAACATTTCAACTCAAGTTAAAATCACCTGTCATTCAGAAACGCAATGCTGAGGCCAGTTGCTAGAGCTGCAAGGATGGCAACTGGCTTTCTAAGAAAGCCCATTCCTGCATATACAAGAGGAAGGAGGTATTAAAAAAAAAAGCAAAATCCAGCCTAAACAACTGAAGAAGAACTGTTCTGCCACATATAGGCATTGTTACCTACCAAGAAGGAATACTACCAAGATGAAGTAGTTCGTCCGATAGCTGCAAACAGGCAAGGTTGGAAAGAAGACTTGATAAGATACAAATGGAATCGTACAAATATACTCTACAAATCAGTTCATACTTTAAACTAGACTGGCAAATTCCCAAGCCTCCACCACGTATCTCATGGTATGGTTAAGAATGACTTCTAATTGTCCATCAACATAATTGAAGTATATCACACACATCCCTCGATATAAGCTGTCACTGGAGTACATGCTTACTAACAAAACATTTTAGCATGCAGTAAAAAATAAAATATGAAAATATCTGCATAAACTTCTTATGACAAGTAGTTGAAGTTCCACCTAATTATAACTGTATAAGTATCAAATAAAAATCTCCAGCTGGCCAGCAGCCATACGCCCATACCACACTACTAATGGTGTATATATTCCACATGTTAAACTCCAAATAGTGCATCGCCTGAAAGCAGATCGACGCCAACCATAAATCGAGCATGAAACAGCACTCCACGAGGTACAGCCTACAGCTGTGATGCCGTCATTCCGTATAAACTAACAAGAGTTGGAAGCTCATCGTCGACCCTGACCTGATAACCTCATCGTGAGTCCACGACCCAACTCTAAATCACCAAAAAATAACAGGAGAAAAACCAATCTACCTCGCCAATTATTCAATTGGTGATTGGATAGGCATCAAAGCATACAAGAGGAGGGCGAGATTAGAGTGTCGGATCGTACTAGTAGAGGTTGCACTTGAGGCGGCTAGTCCACTTGGAGTAGGATCGGGGAGCGGTGAAGCGGGAGAAGAATTCGGAGACGGGGCGCGGCGGTGTTGACCAGTCCACCTCTCGCAGCGCGTCCACGAGGTCCTCCGCCGTCACAGAACTCCAGTCCATCGCTGCCGCTGCCGCTGCCGCCGCCGCCCACAGTGCCTACGAGCTCGCCGTCGACGACGAATTCGGAATTGCAAAAGACCCTAGCAAGCAGAAGACGCGCTTCTAAGGGTGGTCTATCGAAGCCGGTGGCGGTTCGGCTTCGGGCGGTCGGGAACTCCAACCGAAGGGAGAACCATGGCCATCCATCCACGACGGGCTTGTTTTTCTGGCCGTCCAATCGGGTGTCAAGCGGTTCAGATCAGTCGCCTTCAGGCCACTCCCGCCGTCCCAAAACAATCGTAGGTTGTTGTAAAAAAAAAAAGTTAAATGTACGGTAGGTCTATTAATTTTTGTGATGTATCTAGGTCTATCAACTTTTAAACTATATTTTTAGATCTATTAATTTTTGGTGTTGTGTCATTCAGGTCCATCAACTTTCGAAGTTCATTAACTTTCGGTGATGTGTCATTCAGGTTTATCAACTTTTAAATTGCATTTTTTTTGGTCCCTAAACTTTTAATTGATTCACTGTAGGTCCATACGTCTTCATTTAGCGAATAGATCTGACATGGCACGCTAAAAAGCAGCCACCGTGGAGTACAGGACGAGATCACCATCCGGAGATAATCTTCAATACGAAGAGCCTGATGGGATCACCATCTAGGATTCCTCGTGCGGTGGCTCGACGAGGAATAAACTCCACAATAAAACCCAGTCTAATCTAGCCGGTACAAGGCCGAAAGCCACAGGTATAGGTACACAGGCCACCTGACCTAAACAAAACTCGGACTCCACCAGCCTAACTAGGACCAATTGACCCTGAGTCCCTGATTAGGCTAACATGCATGGCACGTCCAAACGCAGCCACCAATTTTATTCACGTACATAGGTGCACGCATGCACTAAAAGCTAGATGCTACATAAAAGATCGTGTATCACAACTAGATACAAAACTAATGCATGAAAATAATAAAATATTACGGCAATAATGCTAATCACGTTGGGAAAATTCCATTGATGATCTCCACCTCTTTAGAATTAGTCCGGATGTATTTTGTTGACTTCATTTTCTCCTCCTTTTTATGTAATAATAAGGCACCTCTATAAAATATCTTTGATGACAGTCCAACAGTTGTAAATTTCTCCATATCCACAATATATTTATTCTTAAAAATAATAGTCCCAAATTTAAGACCAAAGGATATTAACGAATTACTAGCTGCTACATTTAAATTATCACTAGACAAGTCTCTATAAATATCTTGAGGAGCTATGGACTCATCACCTACTCCACGATGTCTGCTTATTTGACGTGCCATGTCAGATCTATTCGCTAAACGAAGGGGTATGGACCTACGGTGAACCAGTTAAAAATTTTAGGGACCCAAAAATGTAATTTGAAAGTTAATGGACCTGGATGACACATCACTAAAAGTTAATGAGCCTAAAAATATAGTTTGAAAGTTGATTGATCTGGATGATACACCACCAAAAATTAATAGACCCAAAAATATAGTTTGAAAGTTGATGGACCTAGATAACACATCACCAAAACTTAATAGACCTACGGTGCATTTAACTAAAAAAAACAATTGTAGGTCTAGAAAGAAGGTGTGGCTCTGCCACTGCCACGCTATCTAAAAGCCGCTCCATCTAGAAGTCAGAATATATACCACTATTTGGCATTTACACATTTATGCACAAGGTGAATGGCGTGGATATATCACTGAAAGGATATAATTCTGGCTTTTATGAGTCAAACTGTCTGAACTTTAATTAAATTTAAATAAAAAAGTATAAACATTAATGATACATAAGTACCATTAGATTAATTATAAAATATATTTTCATAATAAAATTATTTTAAGACATATAAATGCTTACACTATTTACTATAAATTTTGTCAAACTTGAGCTAGATTGACTGACATGAATATTATAGTTGTATTCTTTTATAGACAAAGAAAATACAGCATTTCAACAAAGCCCAAGTAGCAAATGTTTTAGCTCCTTTAGCTTAGATGGCACAAACACTCTATGATTTGTTGGAGACAAGCACCTTCATGTGTGTAGGATCTCATCATACCGAATCAAGCACCTTCATGTGTCTAGGATCTCATCAATACCGATCATATAAACAATCATGTCTAGTTAATACATCCCTCTATTTGCTCGCAAAAGAAATGTTTGCCTAAGCAGGCTTGCCAGCCCGAAGTACTGTTTAAAAAAGTCTTCCAATAATTTGCTCTCTAAACTGATGTTACTAGAAAGTGGCAGCGATAGGTTGGTGCTGTAGCGTCCAGAAGTAGCTCAACCGGCCAGTGCTGGGACGGAAGTCGTAATAACAAAGGAAACACAATAAAAATACAAATTCACTAAATCAGAAAATTTACTTAGTATATCAATTACAACATTCAAATGTTGTCCATAAAGAATAGCTTGTGGAGCCCTTAGCTCTATGTGTAATGTCCTAAAATAGAGCGAAAAGATGCATAATTGACAATTATGGATATAATCATTTGCTTTCCTCCAACCAATATATACAGAGAATAAAAAAGAAGGACAAATATGTTATTTTTTCTGTCTACTATAATTTGTCCTTCAAACATGAGTACTTTATATGGGCGTATACATACATTCAGTTTCAGGGAGGAAAAAAGAAATGAAAACAAAACTGATTCAGTTTCAGGAGAGGTAAAAGGAAATGAAAAAAAAACAAAGGGTATACTTGGTTCACTTTCAAAATTTACCAAACCAAGAATTTAGTAAGCCATGATTTTAGCTAGTATTTGGTTGACTATCAAAACTTGCCAACTTCTCACATTTAGCTTGCCAAATCTTTGATAATTTTTTTGCTCAACCTTTGGCTGCCAAATCTTTGGCAACGTAAATTTTGGTCGTAAACCAAGTCACACATAATACATTCAGTTTCAGAGAAATGAAAAAAAAAACAAATCTAATTCAGTTTCAGGGAAATAAAAAAAACAAATGTCACACATATACATTCAGTTTCAGAGAAATGAAAAAAAAACAAATGAACAAATGTCACACATATACATTCAGTTTCAGAGAAATGAAAAATAAAATGTCTAAGGCCAAGTTCAAACTGGGGACCTTTAGTGTGTGAGACTAATGTGATAACCAAATTCACCAACTACACCTACCAGACACTTGTGTTGGGTTTTTCACTAACTACCTAAATTCGTTGTATCATAAGAAGACAACAGAATATCCTAGGACCGAATATCCTCTACCGTCAAAATATCAAAGCGCAGATCACGGGTGAATGCGTCGGGCAGTGTGATGGGTCCCTGCTACCTCCCAAAATCCACTTGTGGCCCCAGGGTGCGCGAGGAACCTTGTCCCGGTTCCCCGCATAGCCAGGCGGCGCTTGATCCTTACGACTTCCGAGTCCCGCGCGAGGCAAACGTGGTGCGGGCAGCGGGCATGTGCACAACGGCTCTGGGCCTCTGACGTCCTGGATTCCACGGTAGTAGAAGACAACAGAAGAGGACCCACGTCCTGGATTCCACGGCTCAGGGCCTGATCGCTTGCTCGTAAACGATCGTAAATTTCCAGCTAGAAACAGTATTTTTCTCTTACACTAAACCAGCCAGCAGTAAATAATCCACGATACGATACGGCCTCCCGAATAGGCTAGCCGAGGCACCAGATTTTTGCAGGCTGATCGCCCCCATGTTAGTTTAGGAGGCCGCGCCTTATTTTATCTTGGTTGGTAACGATGTTCTCTCCATGATTAGTAGTGGACTGCAAAGTAGTTTATCCTGGTACTAATAAACGAGTGATGCCTTGAACGTTTACATGAACTCCAAAAACATAGTTTTGGCTATTTTTTATAGACTATTTATAATACATAGATAGAAAAGAAATAATTTCACGTTATTTTCTAATATCCAAACTCAACATATAAAAAATACTACTCTCTCTATTCAAATTATAAAGTTTTGATTTTTGTAGATTCATAGTGTTTGTTGTGCACTTAGATATACATTATGCCTCCAATTTTTTTTTGCAGGTTCTATTTCGAGGAACTTACTGGCTGCGGCAATGGGCAAAGCTACAGCGGCGTGAGGAGCTTTGTCTTCAGCTTCTTGCGGGGCAACGTTTAGAGACGTCCGCGCTTCACTTCTTTAGTTTCAGTGGATGGTTATCGAACAGATTTATTGGTTAGCGTTTGTCAGGATCTCTTCGGTGTCAACTTTGTTATCCTTTTGGATGTTTCGTGGCCCTCTAAGTTTTTGAGTTGGGCAAGGATCTTGGACCTATTGTTTGTAATAATTGGCCTGATTCTACCCTCGGGTAGATGAAGCCGGATGCTTTATCCATTATCTAAAAAAGATACATAATAAACACAATGGGCCTATTCGCTGGTTGGTGCTGGTGCTGGTTTGGACTGGTTGGTGCTGGTTTTTTGTGAGAGGAAAACACTGTTGTCTGGCTGATTTGGACTGGCTAAAACCAACAAGCGAACATGCCCAATGTATATAGAAAAGATAAAACATATTGAAAAGAGTGATATCTAGTATCCTCATATGAAAGAGAGTGGCATCTAGACATCTACACCCTCCATTCTAAAAAAGAGCGTCATTCTAGCTATGAATATGAACAACTCCGTCCTAAAAGAAATGTCATTGTAGCTATAAATCTAGGCAACTGTTTGTCCTTATGCTTGTGGAATGTGGACCATTCAAATATGGCCAATCTCACAAATGCCAGAAGCTCCTCCTAATTGCATACCAACTATATGCATGCATGCAGTTGTGGCAGAACCATCCGAAATAGCACGTTTTCAGAGGCGCTCGTCTTCCACTAGACACTAAACACCCCGTAAGTTGGCTACATCGGACAGTTCCTTCGAGCATACCCCAAGGGAGAACTCGAATAATCCACGTTTTACATCCAGAATCCAATAATGAGTACGAGCTTATAATACTTAGTCCATTTCATACAACTAGAGTTCTTGGAAATTATTTATTACAATACCAGAGTTCAGAGTGCGA